GTAGAAATTTAAAACCATTAAGGTTTCTTCAATGGAAAAGAAGTATTACATAAATCCTGATAAACACTCTCTTAAATTTAGAACCATTTTACACTTACATCCGGTAATTCATTTACAAATTGAGGTATTACTGTCAAGTAACTATTCACTATAAGCTGTTGAAATACACTTAAATTGATCAAAGTATTATTATACTTGATTTAAGAGGCTGAAAAACAGATAATTACGGTCACTTGATTCTAGCACTTTTTATTTCTGCGTAGATAAGTGCGTTTATTATCGTTAAAGAAAGAGAGAAAGAAAAAGGGAGGAAGATAGATCGGCCGACGCTGTGGCGCGCGTTTTGTTTTCGCCTTCTTCGCGACTCACACTCTTTCGCTACCGGCGTATCGCCGCGCATCTCCCGGACAGATCCCCCCCGACGAGGGAGAGCGCGTCGCGGGCCCGCGCACACAAACGAGCGCCGACCGCAACTTCTGTTTTCCATCGGCTTTTTCTTACGTCCGCGGCAAAACCTTAGAGCGCACCGGGGCGATTGGCCGTTTCCACGGCAAACCGCGCAATTACGTTGCACAATAATCTATCTTGCCAGTAGTCGCGCGGCACGGCACGGTACGCGCGCGCTCGTAAGCTCTCTCTCTCTCTCTATCGCGCCGTTCCCGACGGCGGAACGAAGACGGGGATTACGACGTTCGTTTAATCGCTCGCATCGCGTTCTCCCGCGAAAGCCGCGAGCGCGCGTAATTGTTGGCGTTTCTTTTTTTATCTGCCGCCTTTTTGCCAGGCGATCGACAATTCGCGAGATAAATCGCCGCGGGCGCGGTTTCGTTGAGTGCCGATACTCGCCGGCGATTATCTCTCGCGCCGTTCGGCAAATTGATTTATTTTGGTGACCGTGCGAGGCAGCACACGAATTATTGTTCCGCGCGCTAATCGTTCTCGCGGCTTTTTTCTCGTTCCCTCTCTCCCTCTTTCTCTTTCTTGCTCTCTCGTTGCTTCGTCGGCGAATACTCGCGAATGGCTCACGAATGGCAGGCGAGCACGGTAAAGCGATATATTGATTTTCCTTCGCGTACATTGCGTTTTCGCAATGTAAATTGAGGAATCGGTCGCGGCTGGCTACGGCGGGCAATCACGGGGAAATTTGCATTTTACGATTCATCCGTTGTAAAACGGAGTGAGCGAGCGAGCGAACGGGCGAATGATCGTGTTGCGCGTCTCTTTTCCACGGTTTTGCTTTCTAATCCGTCCTAATGCGCTTCCATGCACCTTCGATTGTAGACGATGTTTTGCCGTCATTAACGACCGTTCTCTCGCCCTCTACCCCTTCCCTTCTTATCGAAATCGACGATCATGTATGTGCATTTCGGATTCTTCTTTGCTAATAACGAGTACACTGAAAACGAATGCCGGATTCGAATAAAACAATCATCGCAACACTCCTTGGTAAATTGGATCAAGTAAAATATCCTTGAAGTATAAATTATCCAAATAAAATCTATTTATTTAGTCCAAGTAAAATTGATTTAATCGAAATAAAAATTTGTTAAGGAGTATTCGAGTGAATATTATTGCTTGAATCCAATACTTCTTTCCGCGTACCGATGCGTGTCGTTTGACGAGAAAAAGGGGAAAAATGAAACAATTCGACTCGAGGTTTTCCCGCTCACACGTCAACGACGAAGTGGATATTGCTCAAACAGGCGTTTTCCGCCGCGCGCGCCACAGGGCAATAAAATATCCCGCCGATATCTCTCCGTGGCTTTTCATATGCGCCGAGGCACGTCGAGAGGCGTAGAGAGACATAGAGAAAGTCCATCTCGCGGTCGATTACGGACGCAGGTGGCCGGTCGCCAGTCGCGAGCGTTAAACGTTAACGAGCGAGGATAGTGCGCGCGCCCCCCTTCGCTTCTCCCCCGCGTGGAAAACTCGCCCTGCGAGATCAACGCGTGATTCTGCGGCGCGAAGAAGGGACACTATTAATTGACGAGCGAAACTCCCACGGGCGCACTCACGCCCTGCCACATAATTCTCCCTTAATGTGACGTTTTCGTCCACTTTTCTTATGCTCTTCCCCCGCCCCCTCCTGCCCCTCATGCTCTTCCGAGATAATCCCTCCTCTCGCGTCTCCTATACGCGCCGGCGAATCGAATGTTTTTCCCGTACGTGATTGCGAGAGAGCGTGCATTCCCTCTTCCCGGGGAAGCCGCGTGTGTATGTTCTCTCTCTCTTTTTCTCTCTTCTCTCCTCTTCTTTCTTCCTCTCTTCGCTCTCCCTTCGAGCTCCGAACGCTGACCAGATATTATGGTCGTCCCATAAAAGCCCGCCGCCTAGCCGGCGATTGGGCTTTCCCCGGGCGTTTATTATTGCGCGTCCGGTCACGCCGAGTGGATTAAGACGAGACGGGAATCGGAAGTCGCGCGAGATCGAGTGGAGATAGTGTCGGCGGGCGAGGGCGGACGGCGCGGGAGAGAAACAAAAGGAACCCTCCGGAGTTAATCGTCCCGTGTTGCGGGAGATCGTTCTTTCTCGCCGCGAGAGATTATTACCAGGCCGTCGTCAATCGAGATCCGCGATAATTTTCTGGGGCTCTGCCTGCCCCGACGAAATGGGTGCTTTGTGCGCTCATTATACCCCGATTTTTGCCGAGTGAAGTATGTCTAAGCGCGTATTCCGAAACAAGTGGATATCTAGACGTGCTCCGCGAAATATCCTTCTTAGATCCCGCGAAAACTGCCGATGAAAATGAACGAAATTCTCATTGATACACAGAAGAGAGAGTGCTAGAATCAAGTAAACGATTATCCTTTTTCAGCCTCTTAAATCAAGTAATATTTTCGTCAATTTAAGTTTATTTTAATATCTTGTAGTAAATACTTATTTGAACGCAGTAAACATTTGTAAACGAATTATTGTATGTAAATGTAAAATGGCTCTAAATTTAGAAGAGAATATTTACTAGAATTATGCGATATTTCAATTGAAGAAATCTACTGGTTTTGAGCTTCGATTTTCCGGTCCAGTAAATATTTTCCAAAAATAAATTCTAATTTTCTCAATATTATGAATTTAATATTTGTCATAATTCTTTTAATACACACGTAAATGTCTACTTATACGAAGGAAATATTATATTGTATATAGTCGATTATGCTTCTATTTCTAATAAATATTTGCCAAGAAGTGTTGGAGTAATTATTTTACTTGGGTCAAGTAATTATTACTCGAACGGCAGCACTTCTCTTTCAATATATCACATCACGAATGAACTCAATTAACAAATCAAAGAGAGAAATGCCGGCAACCCGAATCGAAATTTTGGTTTCACGTTAATCCTGCAGGTTGAATTTTTGAAAATTCAACGAAGAGTATAAAAAACTATACTGCCGTTTTCTCCATGTTAAAGAAGCACTCGTTCGAGAATTACCTCAAATATATTTTACTAGAATCTTTATTCTTTATTCCTAATTACAAAGTCACGATATATCAATTATATAACTGATTCAGCGGCGAATGGAAAATGACATAGAGTAACCATTTGTAGCATCAGGGTATAACAATATCCTGTAATATAATATCTTCCCGAGTGTTCGGCGGAATTTACAGGATGAACGCGGAGCCGAATTGAATTTCGCCTCGGGAAGGGTCGCCGCGCGCGTCCCTCGAAGGCGGAATCCTCTTTCGCGTAGCCGCGGCTAATGCACCGAATCATTATATCGGACTCGCGGATCCGAAGTAGCGCGAGTTAATTGGGTAATAAGTATCGTTCGTAAGTATCGTCCTAACGGGATTCCTTGTTGCGCGCGAACGATTCGTACGATTTCCCGGCACGAAAGAAGCCTCGCCGGCGGGAGACGCGGCCGACAACACCCGACAACACCGGTAGCCTGCGCCGGCAGCGGAATGGAAGTTAATTGGGTAATTAGTGTCGTTAATAAGCAGGCTTTAATTGAACTTTTTTCCCCCCTCTCCTCCCTTCTTTTCCCCGTTGTCGTAGCGAGCGGTTTGCGCGGTTCCTAAAGGAGACAGGGAATTAACTACCCGGGGTGGCGGGACATTGTAGACTTTAGCCGCGCGATTTTTTCCCCTCTACGACTCGTCGTCCTCGTCTCCGTGTAAATTCGCAGGGATAAGGGGGACTCGATAAAACGACCGTGTACCGCCTTTCCTCCTTTCTTCTTTCTTCTCTTTTTTTCTTTCTCGCCGGAGACTTAGCCGCAAACAAGACCGAGAGAAAGAGAGAGTGCCGGATCGTCGGTAATTCCGTCCAATTAGGACACTCCCAATTAGGAAACCCCTTAACCCCGCGCCCACCGGCGCGTTCGACCCCGTAGCACTCCCCGAGCTTCCCGGGTCTAGTCGCGGAGGACTTACGACAGGTCGCCGAATCTTGGCGAGAGTATCGAAGAAACTTGCTCCGCTCGCCGAGTCCCCTCGGACCGTCCGCTTTCGCGGAGAAACGCTCGAACGCGGCTTAAGTGCTCGTCTCAACTACCGCTATTACGAGTTCATTTCACTTGATTCTGCCGCTTTACATTTCGACGCGCGATTTTACACTCACACTTTCCGCAGACACTCGCGACATCGCAAAAATCCACACCATGCACAACACTTTGCCGTTTTGCCAGAGTTACGTTTCGACAAAATTAGCGACATTCAGGCCGGTGTTAAAGGTTGAAACTCGTCTTATGTGAAATAATCGCACTTTTAATTCAGAATGAGTTTCTCAATTGAATCTTATGATATATTTGACTTTGTATTTGTGAACGTTATTCAACTGAAAAACTCACATCTAATTCCGGACTCAGAGTATCTCGTTTGAGATAAGTTTTAAATTTCAATTTTCATCTTCATTTTTCTCAAAACGTACATGTGTGGGTTGGATCATTCTTGCATAAGTATAGAGCCAAGTAAGAACCATCAATACGAGCTTCAATCCCATCAGAATCGACCAAGAGAGACGATACTAAACGGACGGCGTTGCTTGTTTTTTTTTGCAGGACGCCGAAATCGAGAAGGCGCGGCTGCCGGTGATCGGCTCGGGCTTGTCGAGCGGTCACAACAGCAACTCGTCGTCCACCGACAGCCTGCTGTCGCTGCTGATCCCGGCACCGTTGCGCGAGACCCTCTGGGCAACGGTGGCCCTGTATCTCGGCTGGAGACTCGTCTCCCGCCTACGATAGACGCGCCGGTCTCGCCCAGCCGTCGTCCCGGATGACACCGGCGGTCCTGCGGCCCGATCAAGCGGCCGTGTCGGCACCCGGCACAACACGGCGTTTGGGAATTGTTAGAGGCGGCGGACCGCACGGACCGCCCATAAAACCACCGACTCCTTCTCCCGGGGTGATCCCCGGTGTTCCGGAATCCTCGAGCGGACGCGTCGGACGTCGTCGAGAGGAGAGTGGGAGGATCCACAGCCCGGGTCTCTCTTCGTGATCGAACGGCGGATTTCATCGAGGTAGAGGTAGAGAACAAGAAAGAGAGAGAGAGAGAGGGAGAGAAAGAGAGAAAGCGAGCGAGAAAGAGAGAGAGAACGCGCGCGCGCGTCGAAAGTCACGAGCCGTCTCTCTCGTTCGAACATCCACGACAACTCGGATTGTATTTTGTATAACCGTTTTTGTATCGTCGCTTGTCCGCCAGCCGCGGTGAGAATGCGCTCGGCCGACCACGATCGGTTCCCGAGGGACTGTCGGGATTGCTTGATGTCAAGTAAAAAGAAAAGCATTGCCGAGTACCGGTACCGGTCAGTCGCGATGATTGAAATGACGATGATCCGCGCGAATAATGGATTCTCGGTGATTCGACGAATCGAGAATCGTTCTAAGCGTGTTCCCTCGGGACGCGGGCGGTTTCGTGGAATTCACGCACGGGAGAGAAACCAGCGAGGTTTTGGAGAGAAAAGAAATTAACAAGGGGGATTAACGCCTAGATGTCCAGATGCGCGAAAGAACGTTTCTTTCAAAACAGTTTCGCGGTCGAGACTCACGGTTCGTCACGCGCTACCGAGCAAGTTTGCCGACTGTGATTGTCGCGCGGATGACGAAGCGAGGGTGGGCAACGACGGCGAAACGGCTAAGGCGGCAACATCGAAATCCACCGGGTGCATTCTCGCGCGAGAGCGCGACGGGCGGACGGGCAGGAGTTATCTCGAACGTGTAGCCGTTCGCGCCGGCAGTTCGCCCCGTGAATGATTTCTTCATAGGTGCGTAGGAGGTCGAAGGACGGGCTTGTAGTCTTAGGTGGGAGGTAACCCCCGACGGGGAAGGGGGTAGGGGCGAGAGTGACCGAATTGCGTATTACGCGGCGATCGGGCCGAGACACGAGGAGGAAGAGGTATTATTTAGGGGTGACGGGGGGAGCTAAGGACGAGATCCAAAGAGGATTAAACCCAATAATCAAATGATGATCTCATTACGGATAAATAAAGAGAATTAAATAAAGTAGTGTGATTACGGGAACGAGAGAGAAGGGCGGACCACCCACGCAGGCCCCTTTTATTCCCCGTCTTCTCTTCGCGCGTCCGTCCCTCTCTTGGTCTCGCCGGTAGAGAGAAAGAGAGAGAGAGAGAGAGAGAGAGAGATAGTCTTCGGTGTGTGCAACTTGTAGATAACGCGGTCTTTCCCGTCGACATGGCGGGCCGATTCTCGAGCTGGATTTTTTTTAACAACGTCGCACCGCAACGTTTCGCGAGGTGCGCTTTCGTTGGTGAGACACTTGGTCGGCGAGAAATCGAGAGAGCGAGAAGATGAAACGACGAAGCATTCTTTGCGAACTTTCTCACTCCTTCTCTCTGTCTCTTTTCGAAAGAGAGGAAGAGAGAGAGACACATTGGACTTCGTTGAAGAGGAAAGGGGTTCGATGGGGGGGGAGGGGGGGAGAAGTCGTCGCTAGACGGTCGAGAACGGACCTCGCAAGACGTCGCTACGGCGCCGACGGAATGTGTGTGTATATATAATATATATATATATATATATATATATATATATGTGTATATATATATACACATATATATACTGTAAAGAAAAAGACGTCGAGAGAGAGAGAGAGAGAGAGAGAGTGCGATGTGTATTCCAAAAAAGTTAAGAAATGATATAAAGGAGGGGGTAGGGAGACGAGCAAGGACGCGCAAGATGGAGACAGACAGAGAATCTGCGTGTGCGTGTGTATGCGTGTGTGCGCGTGTGTCTGTGTGAGTATGCGTGTGTATAGGGGATTTATCTAAAGTAATTACGTGAACACTCAGTAATAAGTCGACGTGTTAATAGTTAAAGTAGATAATCGATAGGCCGAGGATCGCGGCATCTTAATTGGCTAGCTGCGAGTCCCGTGGACAGTTTTCAAATGATCTCCGGTAGCTTAGCTATTAGTGGCGGCCCTGGTCACATGCAGGACGCCTTTCGCGGCACATCGGAAGGAGCACTTCTTCCTCTTTCCCCTGTGTCCTTTTTAATAACTCGTCTATATCTCCTCACCTTCTCTTTCTCTCCTTATTTCCCTCTCGTTTTTCTCGCTTGTCGGTGAAACCGTCTCTTGATTCACTCATTCCTCTTTTCTCTCTCTCGCTCTTTTTCACTATCTTTCTCTCTCTCTCTCTCTCTCTGCTCGCTATTCTCGTTCTTCCGCGCGATTCCCTCCGTATATCGCATCCCCGCTTCGCAATTGCGCTTCGCGTTTATCGACGGCGTCGACGGTTCTCTCCGCCGTCGCTCTGTTTGCGCACGACCTAACGTAATCTCCGATCTCGAACTTAGCGCGTATCTCGGCCGGTGCTCGGTCTCTCCTCTCGGTGTTTTTTCGCTCTCGTCCGCGCGATCCAGAGGGTCTCAATTTTCGCGGGCGAGCGGGATCGCCCTTTCTCATTTCGCGAGTTTTCTTAGGATTTTCTACGGCACGGCCACGGTGGACGACGGGGTTGGCCCGGCGAGCGAGGAGGGGCGGAACGTGTATATCTCGGGCTTTCTCGTTCGGTCGCAAACGGAGAGACCGAAATTGTCGGGGCTGCTGTCAGCCCGGTCGCAGTCCATCGTGTTTTCCCTTTGTCTCCCTATCGATAGGACCGTGACGTTCTCCGTCGAGATATTCCAGTGTATAGGACCATAGTATTTATTTATAGGCACATACACACACACACACACACATGCACACACACACACACATGCACACATACACACAGATTTTTCTCTTTACCGTCTGATAGGACCGCGTCTCGGGGTAAATGTACGCACATGATCGCGAGCGCGAGATATATTACCGTCACCTCGAGATAAGCGACTCCTCGTCAGACGCTTCCGCGGGAGCGGCTTTTTGGAAGGTCAATAAACGTCAACGTATGTCCACACGACGTGTAAAAGTAAAGCAAAGACACGAGTAGATATAGTGTTACACAGAAAGAAAGAGAAAAGAAGAGAGAGAAAGAGAGAGAGAGAGACAAAGAGAAGGAGATTTGAAGGAATACGGGACCGTTCGAGCGGCGAAACACAGCGATGCGCCGTTATGATCTTGCGACGCGCGGATTTTTATAGTCTTCGTGTTTCTCATCGTGTATCGCTACATTCTGTCGTGTTTCTCGCGAGCCGTTGTTCAACGTCAGGAGCTCAGACCTATTCCCGCGAAACGTGGACCGCCCCGTTGGATCCGGCGAACATCAGGAGAATTTTCGAAATGCGCCTCGAGCGATTTCACGATTTACGAGGATTTGAAAGAGTAAAAAGCAAAAATTCATTCGAATATTTAGTCGCGAGAAAATTTTTTTTGGAAGAGAAAAAATGCCGAATCGTGACAGAGGTTTTAGAGAGAGAGAGAGAGAGAGAGAGAGAGAGGCGCTCGTTCCGTCGCGGAACTCTAATTTCACCGAGTGCTCGCGATTTTGCGCCAATTCGTCGTCCAAAATCGGCACGTTAAAATTGTCGGAGGTAATTCAGCCCGGTCGAGAGAGAGAGAGAGAGAGAGACAGAGAGAGAGAGAAAACTCGCGCGAGCGCGAGCTGTTGAAAATCGCCGACAACCGCGACAAAGGGGTGGGGGGGAATACGTCGGTCCGGATTCGGCGGCACGTAGCGCGTCCCGTTCCCGCCAGTAGAATCTAGCTCGGGTCGAGTTCCCTCTGTGCCGCTTGCTCCTTTCACGGAGAGAGCACGCAATGGTACAAGATTATCGTGTATACATATTGATATGATAAGTAGTGATCGTCTGTCGTCTGTCGCGGGGAGAGCCACGAGGAACGCTGAGAAACGGTTTCTTTCTCGTGGTGGTTGTTGCATTCCGACCAAAGGGACAATTCCCGTTTTCCTGCAGCGCGGCGAAACGAGGCGCGCGCGCGCAAGTTAGCCTAAAGGGTCGCATTTAATCCTTTTACTCCGTAGATAGGGAAAAAGGCACAGCGAATTCGCGAGTCCCGCTCCGCCTTCCCTCGCCGTTTGGCTTGGCGAGGGAGGAACGTTGACGAGAAAGAAATAAGAGAAAAGATGGGAATATATATATATGTGTGTATGTACGTCTCGGAGGAAAATTGAAAGTGAGAAAACAAGGCGCATGTACATAGTCGCTTCTTTCGGGGCCGTAAACGCACTAACGGACTACGTTTTCTTCTCCGGTACTCTACTTCTTTTGTTCTTTTTTTTTTTTTTACTCTCTTCGTTCGTTTTCCCATTATTTTTTGTTTACAGTTAATTACCAGCTAGAAATGGTACACTTTGTAGAGGCACTTTTAGAGATAGTAGTCAGCCATATTGAAAATATAATAATTATATATGAGTAAACATATATATATATATATATATATATATAAAAGTATATCTATATAATGGAAGACGCGTATATATATATATATATATATATATATAAGAAAGAAGTATATATATATATATATATATATATATATAAAAAAGAAGTATATATATATATATTTTAAATGGTATATATTTGGGGATAATCGAAATATTGTTTCGAGAGATGATAACCCGTTTTGTGTGTGTATGTGTGTGCGTGTGTGCGCGAAGATAGTCGTATATTTCGACGGGGAGCGAACCCCGAGAGAAAATATAGCGGGGAGAGGTGGTGTTTATGGTGGAGGTGGAGAAACGGCGGTTCTTCGAGATCGATGGAGGTCGAAGGACGTAGGTCCAAGGTGAGAAATAAGCTGTAACTGTGACTATGTGGATCGTGGGGGGCAGGCTGTCGATTTGCCTCACTCGTCGAGGGCTACACCGAGATAAATTTCACGCGCCCTCCTCCGGAGCGGAGGGGACGGAACATAACGCGACGAGTTCTACGTATTCCACGAGAGGGAAAGAGGTAGGGAGGGAGGAAGAGAGAGCCGGTCTCTTCGCGTCACGTCCTATCTAGAGGGATCTGAAGATCTCGCGCGCGGCACATCTGACACAGCGACGATAAGAAAAAGAAAAGCATAAGAGAAAAACAAACAAAGAAAGAACAAAAGCGGAACCAGCGGCAGAGACAGCCCGCCCATCCGAGATCCCCGCGCGTCAAAGCGTCACTGTGATCTCGTAATTATTAATAAAATATCCGATTATTATAACGAATAATTATACGAATACTATATAATATTACCCCCTTTGCCCCCCCCCCTCCCCTTTCATTATGAGCAAGAGAAAAAACCCGCCTGGAGACAGGATCTAATGTACTCTCGCTACCGTGTGCGGAATCATAGTTTTGCGTCTCTCTCACCGGATTTCTTTCGTCTCGTCATGTCCCGCGATAATGTTTTTTTTATTTCTCTTTTTACACACTTCTCCTTTTTATTCTCTCTTCTTAATCTTCCCTCATAATACGTGTTCGCGCGCGCGTGCCCGCGCGCATCCTAGTTCGTAACCGTAATATTAATAATATTATCTTATTAACGAATCTTTCATATGATCTCTCCCGGAGGTATCGATTGTGTCAGGCGAGTTCAATGGCCGATGCCGTTCGTTTCCGCCCGTCCGCGCACAACGAGAAGTCGTCGTCTCTCCTTCTCGATTTTCATTCTAATCTCTTTTCTTTTCCTTCCGCTCATCACGTTCCGTCAAAACGGACGGTATCGGCGCTCGGTTGGCCGTATACCTCAGTTAAATAAAGTATATAATTATAAAGCTTAAAGAGAAAGAATTAAAGAGAATTAGAGAGAGAGAGAGAGAGAGAGAGAGAGAGAAACATTATGCAGAAGAGAAGACGAGGGATAACGACGTTGTTGTAGCGATCTTACTCGAATAGATAGGTTTATAACAACGAAAACTGTTTATCGCTGCGTTTTGCACTCATTATTCACCTACGACGTACTATTACCGATTATCGATCATTATTATTATCATCAATGATTATTATTTTTATTTTTATTATTATCACACACATATTATATATTAGTTAGTATGTACTCGTCGCGCGCATAAAAGTGTAATGGCTCGAGTTCTTAAACTCCCCGGCGCTGTAAAGAGATAATCGACTAGTCTTATCGGACCAACCATTGAGATTCGTGTATTTTTGTTTAACGACGCGTATTTTCTAAGATCGAGATTTCCCCCTCTACATACATAAACATACATATATATTATATATATATATATATTTTTTGTTTTTTAAATAATCGATCAATCTCCCTCCTTCCTCCTTAGAGGCGCTTTTCTCTCGCCTCTTCTGTAATCGCGATCCCGAGGTGCCGAAAGTTCGAGCCGAGCATCGGGGGCGGCGACGCGCTCTCGTCCGCCTTCTCGCCGAAACTCCCCCAGGATGTGTCGTTCGACGCGAGACGGGTACGAGCGAGCGAGCGGACGATCGAACGAACGGTAGAGTGAACGTGACGTCCCCGGTCGAGGCGCTCGTCACTGTATAAGGCCACTTCTACC